CCTTGGACGTTGAATCTGCACCGTGTTGTCAGTACTCTCTCTATTTTACCAATTCTCCCATTCTCACGTCTGTTCCACACTCCAATTTCAACCTGTTGCCCCAACTCCCTTGATCTGTGCCACCTGAGGCGCGGCTCTTGATGTGACGTCAATCCGTGTGTGCGTTTGGCATGGCTTTGGGGATGGCGGGCCTTGGACGTTGAGTCTGCACCGTGTTGTCAGTACTCTCTCTATTTTACCAATTCTCCCATTCTCACATCTGTTCCAGCATGGGACCACTCCGATTTCAACCCCTTGCCCCAACTTCCTGGATCTGTGCCACCTGCGGCGCGGCTCTGATGTGACGTCAATCCGTGTGTGCGTTTGGCATGGTTTTGGGGATGGCGGGCCTTGGACGTAGAATCTGCACCGTGTTGTCATTACTCTCTCTATTTTACCAATTCTCCCATTCTCACATCTGATCCAGCATGGGACCACTCCGATTTCTTGCCCCAACTTCCTGGATCTGTGCCACCTGAGGCGCGGCTCTTGATGTGACGTCAATCCGTGTGTGCATTTGGCATGGCTTTGGACGTGGAATCTGCACCGTGTTGTCAGTACTCTGTATATTTTACCAATTCTCCCATTCTCATGTCTGTTCCAGCATGGGACCACTCCGATTTCGACATATTCCTCCTTGCCCAGCTTCCCTGGATCTTTGCCACCTGAGGCGCGGCTCTTGATGTGACGTCAATCCGTGTGTGCGTTTGGCATGGCTTTGCGGATGGCGGGCTTTGGACGTGGAATCTGTACCGTCTTGTCAGTACTCTCTCTATTTTATGTCAACGGCATTATCGCATACTTTACTCTTTCTGCTTTACCACCACAGTTGCTTAAAATTTCTGGATTCTATGACTGTTAATTTCATCATTTACTCGTGGTTTGTTCGGTTCTCTGTGCCACCGTGCTGGTCTCAACCTATTTTATGTCATTGCGGGTTGGTCAGCAAAAAATAAGGCCCTAAATAAATCAACAGGAAAGAAAAGAAAAGGACAACCTTTGGTTCATTGCCAAATTGCATATCCCAACCTTTCAAGCAAATGTAAATAGCCGACCGTGGCTAGATTTACTCCTAGATCAGTAAAACACTGCCACTATTCCCATTAGAACAATTGTAGTCCTTCCTGCAAAAACGACTCCAACACAGCCACTATTTTCATTACACGAAAAACGAGGTGACAAGTAAAAAAATCTGCATTCCGATCTGCCTTCGAGTATTAAAAGGGACGATTAGACTTGGGGGATAGGGCCGCTGCTCTGCACGGCAGATACTCATACTTACTGACTCAATAGGAGTACTAGTGTCCCTTCAGAATAGCAGCTCTGGTTGGCTAACAAGCGCTCCAGAGCACCAGATAATATGACTCCTGGATTCAAAGCATGGTACAGATGAATATCAGCACTGTGATGATAAAATTTTTACAGCACCCCATTATCTGTAACATGAACGAGTCATGTATCTACGTCCCTTGCAAACCAAAACCGTTTGTTCCCGCTGGAATTGTGCGTTGAGCTGCATTATGACTTGTTTCCGTTGGTTAACTTGTTTGACCTACATAGTTGGTTTGCTCCTGTGCTCAGCAGGGTACGTCGCCATGGTTGGCCTAGAGGTTTGCTTATAGAATATTTCCTTGTTAAGCTCTTCAATTGTGTAAGCCCCTTGAACTCTCGGATTCCTTGATGCTGATGCATACTAGATTCAACGTCGGTTATGTGCGTGCTTATGTCCGAACTCCTCCCGAGCTGATTTCAGTCCAATGGCAAAAATCCTGATTCTACCCAATTCTCCGGATCACTCAAGAATGTTGTGATTGCGGTGAATGCTATTGGGGCAGGCGTGGATATCCTCATCGCACTAGCCATGATGTACTTTTTAGGATCCAAACATAGTGAATTCAGGGGATAATGCTTATTGCATTATTCCCGTTGCATCATTCCCTGCTGCCCTTGCTAAATCTCTGTGTCAGATCTTGAGGATAGAATATATTCACTTCCGCAACTTCATCCACCGCGATGTCAAACCTAACAATTTTCTAATGGGTCTCGGTAAGCTCGGCAATCAGGCGGTGCTGTGAAGACCATGCTTATGTATTCGGAACTATTCCTGCCGGTCTGTTGGTCCAGGCCACACAACGTGACATTTTATGCAGAGCTACTTTCGTGGGCTTGAATGCCAGGTGATAGCCAGTGTGATTCTAAGCAAAACTGTCTCTTGGGATTCCCATTGCTGTCCTGTTCATCGAGTGCGGGTCTTCGAAGCTCTTCATTCTGTGGGAGGCGGTGCTGTGAAGAGTGTGTCGGAGTCCCTTACCGCATCTCTCACAGAACGAGCACGTGTAGTTAATGGATATCCTCTCTAAATACCTGCCCTCAGGCTGAACCAATCTCGTTTTGCGTTGAAAGTTTGCTCACACACACCGGAGCGAAGCTCCGGCATGTCTTGTTTTAGTAAAGGAGCCCTGGTTTGCTATCAAAGAAGGCAGGTGGAGTTGGATTTAAGTTGTATCACGCAAAACATTCAAAATCTAAAGTTGTCTGTTGAATTTTGCAGACATGCATACTCCATAGAATTCGTTTTCGCCAACTTGTCGGGCCTCAACGTTGCCAACAACCAAAGTTGTGGTTGGGCTAAAGTTGTAGTCTGAATTAGAAATGCCTCTGAAGTTGCATTCCGAGCTTGAAGTTGCCCATTTTGAGTCGAAAAATGGGCAACTTGTCAACGGCTGAAAAGCCGTATGGGCCATTCGAATGAAACTGAAAGTCATATAGGAAGAGAACCACATTACAATGATGCAACCCAATATCTCGACCAGATCAATCTCGAAGTATTCGTGGTCAAACTGGTGCCAAAAGAATGGCCAAACTATGCGCCAGTCACCTTTCAGTGTGGGTTCGGCGAATGTTCGACGCTGCATGGTAGCAGACTCACTGGTCCAACCGATAGAAAATAGGATAATCTGAAACTCGATGAGCAGCATCATGCCCCCCCCCCCCCCCCCCCCCCCCCCCCATGTCTCGGGCCTGAGAGCCCAGTCTGAGGGATCCAACAAGGTTAGGACGAAATGCGGGCATGGGCGTCCGAACAGCATTTTCAAGGTCAAAGGGAAGCAACACAACTGCCCATGCCACCAACACGAGTACCAACACGAGACAAATGTCAAGCATGGCGATCTTCCACGGTTCGTCAAAAGCACTGGGAAATGCATTACAAAGTTCGACGATAAGCACGCCGACTCCTTTCATGGTGTAGAGAATGTGATTTTTTGTTGAACATCGGGCTCACCTATGGAACCTCCCATGCAACCTCCCAAGACTCCAAGATATGAAACCAACACGCCCAAGCCTCCTGACAGATCGCGAGTGAAGAGCCAACTTGAATGACCTGGTGTCGGATCCTCAAAAAAGAGATTTAAAATATACTTCAACATATTTCAACCTAACGCGACAGGTTTGCCAGAGACACAGACGTACATCAGCCTTCATGTCTCAATGTTAATAGCAGGTGACGAAAAGACCTCCGGAGGCAACCTGTCATAGCGCAGCACTTTTGACGGACACCGGTAAGTCAACAGGCAGTCCTAAGGTCCAACCCTTGGTCCTCATTCTTTGGTCCATTGATGAAGTTTCTTACACAGGAGACAAAAGCCTGGCCTGGGGATGACTCTGGCGCAGCATGTCATGGCTCCGGCCACGAAGAAAGCGAGAACCTGAATAGACAGCCTTGCTCAAAATTGCGCTGGCTATCACCCGGCAATTCAGATTCGTGAAGGAACCCAAATGAGCACGGGACGTTGGAATTGGCGATTTCAGTGCTGTGTCAATACAATTGCATTTGTTTACTTACCCATGGAAGGCGCTGGCAGGCATCAACACCCTTGCCCCCTCCCATCTGCCCCCTACCATCCTTGCAACTTCATCAATTCCGCCCTTGAATTCTGAACTTGACTGCCACCTGACAAAGACGAAGATTCTTATTGTCTTGCTCGAATTTGGTCCGCACTCAGAGCTGCAGAATCACCCTCTTTATCTACCTCTTTAATCTGCGCCTTTTGTCCGACGGTGAGTAAACTTCTCGGTACTTATTCTCAAGCTGATATAATTCTCAACATCAACTTTCACAGCTGAATGTCGCGCCCAACAGAAGGGGATGCGAGGCTGCGAAGCGGCCGAGCAGCCGCTTGTGTAAGCTAATATTTAAAGATTTTGGGATCTTCAACTAATGCATAATTAGGGGAATTATGAACAAAATATCTCAGCTCTCCCCGACATTTGACACGCTTGCTGTGGCAGGGGAACGCACCGAACACATCCCCTTTTTTCCGTTTAAACAAGGCCCTTCTCAGAAGGTCATAAAAAGCACGTGCCGGTCATGTGAACTGAGAAGGCGGCTTGTTCCGAACCTATGCTAAACCCAGGAGAATGCCGCATCAAGCGGCACCACACACCTTCGTGACAATTGACAACTTCCGGTGCATCACCACCCATCAAAAAAACTTTTTGTCCTTCCACGAACGCCCACCCTCACATGAACGGAGGTGCACAGGTCTACAAAGACCTCCTCGACGCGAACAACGTCGGCGACAACATGTTTATAGCAGACCATGGCGGTCACGCGGTCGACAGAAGTGGCGACGACGACGACGACGACAAAAGCCAAAGGGCGGTCAAAAGCAGGGTCCCAAAAGAAAGATCGAGTTCCTTCAAGACAAATCGAAGCGCGGCATTACCTTCTGCAAAAGGAAAGCTGGTCCGTGTTCCCAGCCTAATCCAATGTCCCGCTCTCATATTCCGAAAAAAAGGAATCATGAAAAAGGTAGCCGGGAATCCCTTTTGTTCATCCGTCGCTGACTCTCTTCAAGGCTTACGAGCTCTCGACGCTGACTGGCTGCCAGATCCTCCTCATCGCGGTGTCAGAGACCGGCCTTGTGTACACATTCTCCACCGCGAAATTCCAGCCCCTCGTCAGTGGCTCAGTTGGAAAAGCACCACTCATGCAAGGTGGAGGTCACAGGTTCAATCCCTGGTGTTGCCAATCCCATTTTTAATCGTTATCATCTCCCACATCCCTTGTTGCTGAGAGAGCATTTCCGTTCTGGACCGCCGAGACGCGAAGCGATCAGCTAGATCATTCACAGGTCCAATCTTTGACTCCACGTCACCTTCGCTCTGACGTTTTTCCTCTCTTCGTCGATGTCATGTCTCTTAAGGACCGGCATGGATCGGCCTTATCCCAATGAATCCGTCGTCCATCCGGAGATAATGCTTATCCGTACGGATGATCATCCGTGGATAAACTTTCCCACGGATGAAGCGTGGATGCGGTTTTGCGATTTGCCTTCTCCTCCGCCACCAGTGGTCTGTGGAGGGCATGAAACCGATTCTATTGACCAAAGAAAGGGCCTGGAGCGTTTTCCCGGTGGTATTTGGTTCGTTGGTTGCTTAGACACCATTTCCGTCGATTCTGATGCAATTTGGATGGGGAAGTCATGCTACATGGTCGGGAATGCTCCGAAATTTTTTTGGAGGACAGCATGATGAAATATAATTCTGTCAGAGCCGTTCCACAAATATTCTGACACCAGAGGAAGGCGGGGGTAACAAAAAGGTAGTGAGATCAACAAGGACAAACACATATCCGCAGGGGAGACTGCGTGCGAGCCGCAACAACGGTCAACGCCTACGCCACTGCCGCGAGAAATTCAAACACAGATTTGGAAGCCGCGGCCCCCGCAGACTTCGGGAGCATTTACAGGAGATCCTGAAAATAATGACAATCACGAGAATTTTTTTTCGCGCTTCCCAAAAAGGAAATCAGCCTATCTTTCCTCCTTTGGCCTTTTCTACAGCTGCAACACCTTTTGCAACGTATTATGAGGCTGTGGAAGCTTCGCCCGTACCATCATAACATTTCTGGTGTATTTTACCCGTGAACAGATCATCCATTCATGCTCCAAGCAGTGATATCAGTAGATGTGATTAAATTTTGCTACAAAATTGTACATCATGAAAATTAATTTTCTACACAAATTGCTATGAACTTCTCAGCTACCCAAACGGGGTCCCAAGATTAATCTTAGACTTATAAGATTAAATCTGATGAAACTGAATACCAAAAAGTGCCCACAACCAGATTTGAACAAGGAACATTATAATAGTGGTTGCGGAAAAGCACAAGGTATTTCCACTAGACCATAAGGCCCATACTCAACTCAAAGCAAGGATGATTTAATCTTTGCAAAAAATTCAATCTAGAGTTCCTGAATTTTGCATTTTTGAGCCTAGTTCAGCCATAAAATCTCAATGGTATTGTGACCAGTGGTTCAGTTCAGTGGGCTGCATCATGTGTCACCTGAAAAATTGGTCAAAATAGTACAGTAGTGCAATCACGCATACTCTCTACAACATGCACAACATGAAACGGACTTAAAGATATTTCCCTTTTTTCCCTTCCAGGGTGCTTGATATGTATAAGATGCAATGGTCCTTTAGTATGTCTTGCTTGGTGTAGTGGTTATACCCTCCCCTTTCGTGTAACCGTTATTATAAGGTTCTTTGTTCAAATCTGGTTGTGGGCACTTTTTTATGATTCAGTTTCATCAGATTTAATCTTCCAAGTCTAAGATTAATCTTGGGACCCCGTTTGGGTAGCTGAGAAGTTCATAGCAATTTGTATAGAAAATTAATTTTCATGATGTACAATTTCGTGGCAAAATTTAATCACAGCTGCTGCAACCGTTGCTCCAAGTACGACAAGCAAGCAAGTAAGTTACCGTGCAGAGATGCTCAACGCGTCATCGTAGGCGACGGCCCGATTGCGTCGCTTTCTTCGTCAGTCGAGACACCGCTCATGGTTCCGCATGGCGCCAAGTTTATGGCAGGGACCCGGTGCGAGTCGTCTGTGCTACGAGAGCATGTCCTTTTCTCCTGGCCAGTTCCCACAACTGGTTTTGGAACGAGTTCACTTATGTGTCCACGATTCGGATAAATCACAATATTTTCTGCTGTGTCTATGCATCGCACCCTAGCTGTTTCTTTATTGATAACATGTACATGGAACCCAATCACAATCGTTCTTAATATTTCATCATTTTGACCTGAATTGAGTACTTTGTACCCAGAAAAACTCAGATCCCTATAAAAGCACTTACGCCGGAGCGAAGCGAAGGCACATCTTGTACATTATGATTGCCCTTGCTCGCCAAATCCGGAAGATAGAATGCGTCAACTGATCCCTTATCACTGCTGAACCCAGCTGAAAAACATATAATGCACTGGGTTCAAAATGCCATTGTGAGGCACATGGTTCCAAATGGCACCCTTATCTGTGCGGAACGCAGCTCACCTTCGGTGCAGTCGGCTTTTTCTCCGTCTTGACTTTGGTCTTCTTGGCGAGAACATCCGGCTCCATAAACATGAGCCAAGTATATTAACAAGTTTGTAGAGATCTTACCTCAGGGAAATCGTTGAGCGAGAGGGCTCTTCGTGGGGATTTCGGGCCGGAGGTACTGATATCCTGATTGAAAGGTTGGTTAAATGCACTTGGATTGGTGTTATACTCACTTCCTGTGCCTTCTGCGCAGCCTTGCCCTTCTGAAATATGTGGTGCAGCTGGCTCGAAGCTCTTCATAGAAAGAAACGATACCTCTAATCATCAGCCAGGAAAAGGATATGAGCGAAATCTATGGTGCAGAACACTAGGCGACGGGTAGCGCGGGTGTCCCTGTGCCACCTCTTTTTCGGAACTCGGCTCTTCGTGCTCGTCACTCCTCTCACTCTCCTCCTCCTCCACCTCATCATCCGATTCAGAATCATACCTCGTCTTCTTCTTCTCCCGAGTTGGGCGCTGTTTAGCGTTCCTTTCCAGCCGCGCCGTCTCCCGTTGCGACGCAATTGTCGCGCGAAGGGTGTGAATGAGAGCGTAAAGGCGAACTCGGTATCCCGTCGCAAAGACCCATGAGGTGAGAAGAGCTTCCAGCTTTTCCAGTGAATCGAGAGTGAGAAGTACGTCGAGGATCGAACGAATAACAGAGGTGGGAAAGAAGGAAAATTTTGGTCGGTGTTGGTACAGTATTACCAAATGTATGAGGACAAGAGGAATCCAGGATTCGATGGAAGGAAGTCAATCCGTGTTTGCACAGCGATAATGGATATCATTAGATTCCATTGGCTTTCTCTTTGGTGGAAGGCCACCGGAATCCATTGGATCCCTGGAACTTTGTTCTGGACTGGAACTATCTCGCATTCTCGAAGGTGGAATGGGCCCTTCAGCTTGTTACCAATGTGTGGGTGTTCGAGTCGACTACGATAATGCAATGGTTGATTTCTGGACTGATTTTACTGCAGTTCCTGAAAATAATGGCAAACATCAAAAAAAAATTGCGCGTTTTTCAAAAAGGAAATCATATATTTCTGTCCCCACTGCGCTGCAGACTCTACGGAGGTTCGTTGTCCTAGAGTCTGCTGTGGGATACTCTCCTGACGCCTCTCCCACTAATACTCATCGGAACCCGTTGAAACATTTCTAACCGTCCATCTATTGGTTAGGTCAGATCCCATCATTCTGGTTGGTTCTGGACAGCTCTTTGAATATAAAATAAACACTTGACGCTCCGCTGGCGATGAACCTTTGAGAACGAACATGCATGTTGGAGTGTGTGAATGGAAGTATTCCGATAAATCCAAGAGAGTATAACTGATTTTTCAATGCTTCTGGCTCCATAACATATTTCATAATGTGTATATGTTGTCCCTTCCAAATTTCTAGGTGGCTGGCACATGTTTTAACTGAGCTACAGCATTTTCTACCTCTTTGTGATTCGTTCATTCACACATTTCAGGCATACAGTATGGTCCCATTCGATCAACCCGAGGCGGCATTGGTAATTATTGATATTCTTCTTTGTTAATTGAGATACTGATGCTCTGATTCAGGACATGTTCAGCAGATGGATCTCCAATACCCCTCTATCGCTCCAGTAGACTTTTGAGATTGTATACTGTTTTCTATAATAAAGGAACTTGTATTGTATTTCATTGACATTCACAATATTGTAGAAGATCATAAGGAGCTTCATCTGCAATAGTCCGATGTAATAGGCTGAAGAATGCCAGGAAGGAACAAGCAATCACATAAATTCCGGCTGAATCACCTATTGACCGTCGGCGGCTGGGTGTAAACAAGTGCAAACCTTTACACTTGTTTGGCATCAGCATCTTGCCAACGCTTTTGTCAAGGGTTTTGTCGGGTGGTTGTCGGGGCTCTGGATATGACGTCCATCCCGCGACTAGGCTCAAAAGCACAACGGGGCTTGTGTCTGTCGGGGCTCTGGATGTGACGTCCATCCCACGACCAGGCTCAAAGAACCTGAGGAACAGCGGGTTTTGGTCTTTCAGGATTTTGTCGGGGCTCTGGATGTGACGTCCATCCCACAACTATTTTCTCCAGTTCGTGGGCTTGTCTCTGTCGGGGGCTCTGGATGTGCCGTCCATCCCGCGACTATTTTCTCTATCAAACGCCCTAGGTACCATCTCTCCAGGTCGGTGATGTCTTGTCATATTCTACACTTCGCCCTTTCTTTCTCTCCCTTGCTTCCCGATATCCTCGCGTGTTGTCTCAATTCTTAGCTGACATTCATTCCCCTTACCAGGTTCTCCCTTGACGAGGATGACGTTCCACAAGTGGCCCTCAAGCCGGCGACCAGGGAGCGCCCAAAGAGCATGCCACCGGTGTCGAGCGCTCCGCAGGCGTCGCCTGGCCTCAGGGGATCGTCCACGATGCCGACGATGACGGACATGCTAGCGAGCAAGCACGGGTGGACGGCGAAGCTGCGCGACCTCGAGCACGCAACATTTGGCGGCCCCAGCGGATGAAACACGCCCGCACAGACGCCGTCGTCGGCGACGGATAACCACGATTGAATCAACGAGAAGTGGCTGCACGAGCAGGAGCACCGCGGGGAGAAGCGCCGGAAACACAAGGTGGAGGTCTACGTACGCGTTCCTTCTTCTTTTCCTCCCGTCGCTTTCATTTTC